GGCGCGGGGCCGCCCCGGGGAGCCCCCGGCCGCCGCCTCCGCGGCCGGCGACGCGGGCTGGCCCAACAAACACACGCTGCGCATCCTGCAGGACTTCAGCTCCGACCCCTCCTCCAACCTCACGTCCCACTCGCTGGAGAAGCTGCCGGCTGCCGCCGAGCCGGCCGAAGGAGCCTCGCAGGGGCAGGAGGCCGGCGGCCCCCGCGCCCGAGACCCCGCGCACCGACCGCTGCTCCGAGACCCCGGACCCCGCCGGTCGGTGCCGCCCCCTGGCCCGAGCGGGGACGGCTCCCTCCTGGCTAGGCTGTTTGAACACCCACTCTACCGGATGGCCGTTCCACCGCTAACGGAGGACGACGTGCTCTTCAATGTGAACAGCGACATCAGGTTCAATCCCAAGGCGGCAGCTGAGAACCCTGACTGGTGAGTGAGGCTTCACGGAGGGGGCAGGGGCCGGGGGGTAGGTGCGGGCAGGCCCCGACCCCTCCACCGGGCCTTCAGCCTGTGCTCCCTTCCCAGGAAAGGGCCTTGCACATCCCAGGCCATTGTGTAAAGAGGCCAGAGGCTCAGGAACCCTGGGAGGGTATGGACCCTCACGGCCAAGCAACGCCCCACCCAGGGGAGCTTTGTGGGGTGGGGCAGCATGCTGTCTCTTGCTCAGGGCACTGCCTTTGTCTCCAGAATGACTGCCTCCTTGAGAAGGGCTGCTGGGTGGTTTGGGGACTGTTCCCTGTGGAGCCAAGGGAGGGTCAGTGCTGCCTTCATAGCAGAGCCATGCTGGCCTACAAGCTCCTGGTCTCTGGCTCCAGAAGCCCAGTGGGGCAATGCAGGCACGGGCTGGCAAGGGCATGAATGAGAGGAGCCACTGCCCCTAACCTTTCCCCGGGGAGCTGCCGGCTGTCAGGCCTTCCAGACACTCGGCGACGTTTCTCTAGTGGAACATCAGGAAGGTCTGCAGAAGCCTAATGAGCCCTGTAAGCCAGTGGCCGAGAACAAAATTAGCAGAGGGGCGTGCCGGCCCCAACGAGGCAGAACAAAAGGGCTCTCCCAGCCAGGGTGCAGACAGCAGGCTCCCTTGGAATGGTGCCAGCTGCGTTGGGTGACAGCTTCATAAAAGGTGAGAAGCATATCCCAGGAGCACTTCTTTAAACTGTCCTGGTGTAAGCCCTTCCCCCCCCCCCCCCCCAGGCCCTCCTCAGCCACACGGAGCAGAATAGGCAGATGCGGAACCCAGAGAAGTGAAATATTAACTAGCAGCCAGGCCGGAGTAAATAGCTACCTGCAAGAGGTTACCCAAGCAACGCAGGGAAAGGCCAGGTTTCCAAAACATCTCATAAAAATCCTTTCTACCCTGAAACCTGACCAGGCCCAGGCTTTTCGGTCTAAATACACCAAGGTGTTCGGTGGCCTTTGAGCTTTGACTGCTGGCCAGGTTCAAGGAAATGCTCAGAAACTTGAGAATCAGAGCAGTGGCCCAGACCTGGAGCTCTTCACAGGAGAGACACAGCCCAGGGCCGATGGTCAGTGATGCAGCCCCTGCGGGACAGGATTTGGGGCCGGAAGGGCCCTATTTGCGGGCGAGTTGGAGCTAGGAGAAGAAGCTCCATTTCCCTCCGGCCCAGCAGGAGTCTGTGTGCTCCCCCAGACCGGCCCCCGGGCTCCGGAGATGTCATGTCAGAGGATGCGCCACTTTGGGCCTCAGCGGGAGTGAGTGCCTCCTTCCTTCCTCGCTCCCCACCCAAGACTGCTCTCGTTAAAATCAAGTTTAGCTTCTTGCATCATCTCTGCCCCTGGTTGTTGGAACCAAAAGAGAGTGCCCAGGGAAGATTTCTGACGGGCGGGGCGTGTCTGCGTGTGCGGTCAGAGACGGCTCGCTGGTCTGCCCCCAGGAAGAGCTGGTGGCCTCTCACCCCCCAAGCTGACATCAGGCTTGTTGGGCTGTTTGGGTGACCCCAGGACAGACGAGGCAGGGCCTCACGCTGATGTTCTGGACTTGGTCCTCACGTAGTTACAGCTGTCTGGGTGTCTCCCGAGCGCAAGTAGGAATTACGGCCTTTCGCTATGTCATTAGTTACTAGAACGGCAGCCGCAGAAAAAGTGCCGACGTCCGCAGGGTCCTGTCTGAGCAGAGGCCCCTTTGAGTACGTCTGCATCGGTTTGGACCCAAAGTGAAAACCTTGGCGTGGGCACCAGCTCCTCCTTATCCATCCGGGCCTCAGCACTCCGTTCCTTCCCTGCTGACTCCGGTCACCTTAATTTTCTGCAGGCCGCGCGAAGGCACGGAGAACGAAGAGTTCTTGCCCACCGGGGAGGCGGCAGTGGACTCCTACCCCAACTGGCTAAAGTTCCACATCGGCATTAACCGGTACGAGCTCTACTCCAGACATAACCCCGCCATCGAAGCCCTGCTGCATGACCTCAGCGCTCAGAAGATCACCAGTGTTGGTAGGTGCAGGTCTGGGGCTGCAGACGGGCACCTGCAGAAGGCAGGGGCTGCCTTCCTCCGCAGGAGACGGGGGGGGGGGGGGGGAGCTATCGCTCCTCAGCTCCTTGCCGGAGCATCACCTCCTGGGATGATTTATGTGGCACCTTCTGGGAGGGGAGCGACGCTTTCGATGCCGTCAGTGGGCCAGGGGCTGCTACCCACTGTGACAAGGCTGGCGAGGGAGAGAGAGGGGCCTCAGAGCCTTGCTGTTGCGTTCCGCTGACCCCCTTGAGGAGGTCCCCCGGAGGAGCACCTCCCAGACCGCAGGTCTCCCCTCCAGGGGTAAAGAGGGGACACACACCCCTGGTGGCTGCGGCCCCTCCCTCAGCACAGCAGGGGGACACATGCAGAACTCACAGGCGTGTGGTTCGGGAGCAGCTCTGCATCAGAGCTCTGCCAGCTGCTCCTGTCATCTCCTGTGCGCGAGGAGTGACCAGGGCTTGACTGCCTGGGGTGGAGGCCCGAGCACTTACTAATTCAGAGGCAACATCTCTGAGTACTTTGGGATCTGCTGACTCGGACAAGAAGGGGCATCCAGTTACTGATTTCAGGCAAACGTGTCAGGGGCAGTTTCTGAGCACGGAGGTTTGGTGCCACTGTTCTCAGGGCTGTAAGCAATCGTTTGTGAAGGTCCCCGCTAGTCACCGGCGGCGGTGGCTCAGTGGTGAGAGGGATGGGCTGAGACCCTGGGGTGGAAAGAATAGTTCTGGGGGTTCTTTCCCCCAGGAGCTGGCCTCGGTACACACAGCCGGGAAGGGGTGGAGGTAGGCCGGTCGGGGGGTGACATGAGTGGAGGTCCCCACCCTGTGCTGTGGAACAGACGGACAGTTCTCTGACACAGTCTTCCTGGTGTTTTCCCGAGGAGCCACGGTGCTGAAAGGGCCCCAGTGCGCTGGGGCTCTGTCCAGTTGCTGACCAGGGGAGTGAGGCTGGCAAGTGGGTTTTGCGGGGTCCTATAGGGGCTGTTTCCGGCCCTCTCTGGCCGGTGCCGAGCTGTCTGCTGGGCACCTGCCACATGCCAGGACTGCTCACCCGCGTGACGGAGAGCTGGCAAGAACAAGCTGACGTTTTCCTCTCTTAGCTGGCTATGCCGGAGGGGTCTGAGCACCTCCCCAGACCCCAGCCCTGCCCCGGCTCTCCCCGTGGAAAGCCCAGCCTCCCTTCTGCCTCTTGCAGGTGTCAGGGGCTTTAGGCGGTGCTGGGAAGCAGGCCGTGTGCATGACAGGAACTGTCCCCAGACAGCCACAGCCGGGTGCCCCCTTCGCTCTTGAGACATATCCCGGGCATCGAGCAACTCACTCCTCACCCGTTGAGCAGAGTTTCTCGGGCACCTGCTGACCTCCAGGCCCCGTTCTGCATAGTGGTTTGAGGGTGAATGAACCTCAACAAGATTCCGCCGTGGATGACCCAAGAGGCCCAGGGAGGCCAGGAGACGGACACACTGAGGAAGACAAATGCTTTGAACGCTGTTTGCACAAAATCTAGGAGGAGGGTATAGAAAGGAGATGACCTTCATCTGGAAGGAGGGGTACGGAGGACCTGCTGTGAGAAAAGACATCTGATCTGGGGCTTAGATGAAGCGTTTGCAGTTGTCATAGAAGGGGGCAGGGAGGGCTGGGCTTTCCAGGGAAAGAATAACATTTTAAAATTTAAAATTAAAAAATTTAAAATTTAAAATTAGAAATGGTTTTAGACAATACAGTATTAAAAGAGCCTGCTCTGCGGCTGTCCGTGGTGCCCCTCTCTGCCTCAGTTTCCCCATCTGTCCAATGGGCTTGTGCCCGCTCAGGTACACTGCATTTGTTCTAATAAGATGACGCGTGTGAGTCTGCAGGGTCACCACTCTCAAGTGCGGGGTCTGGGGTGCAGGAAGGGCTGCTGGGATTCCAGACGCTGGCCAGGCTCACCATGTCCTTCAGGGAACAGGCGGCCTCCAGCTCTCCTCGGACACCCGCGCGATGCAGAGGACAGGGCCCGGCAGCTCAGGGAGAACACAGGCACCCTGCTCTCTCTGCCCCCCCCAGGGGTCTGGACTTGAGGCACCTCCCACCCACTTTTGGCCTGGCCCTGGGCAGGGGTGCCTAAGTTTCCTGACCACGGTGGACTGAGCCAGGGGCTGGGGATCTCATCCCAGGGTCCTGCTTGGCCCAGGCCTGGTGGTGTGAACGGGGAGTGAGTTCCTGATGGGCTGTCTGTGCTGATCCCACTCACTCCTAGACTGCTCTGGCCTCGCTGGTCTTTCCCAGTCACTGTGCAGGACCCAGTCGGTGCTGGGAGTCTGACTGATGCCCCTGGTGCCTGGTGTGAGTCTGGGTTGGCAGATTAATCTCAGGTACTTTGGGTTCTCACGCAGAACATAAAAGATGGTTATGACCTAGACCCTATAATCTCCACTTGCAAATCTGAAATCCAAATGTAACTCGTTCAACAGCAAAACCTGACCCAACCTGAACTTATATGGAGGCAAAACCTTAATTCACAAGGCTATTTATGAACCCTTTTTTCTCTCCCTTGGAGTAAATATTCACATGTTCCTCTGAGGCAGTAAGAGTATGTTTAATTACGGGGCTCTGCCCAGACCTATCGGGGCCGCTACCTAATGTGTGGGAGGGACACGTTATTTGCGCCTTCTGTCAGCTGAGATGTTTGAAACCCTGGAGCGCTTCTGTCCTCCGAGACTTTGATGAGCGGCGTGGCCCTACGAAACCTATATCACAGGGCTGCTGAGAGGCTTCGATGAGCGAGTAAAAGAAAGAGGTGGAAATAGAGGCTAGGGAGCGTCTCTGCAGGCAGGTGTGTGTTGGGGCAGCGTTCCAGGGCAGACCAGAGCCTCCTTGCTTGCCCAGAGCAGCGCGAGCTGGACAGGCCAGGGGAAGGCCTCGGTCGACCCTTGGCCCCGCACTCCCTGCTGCCTCAGTGAGCCCCCAGGTGAGCTCACACTTGTGAAAAGGCTCTGGTCCACAGGCAGCAGTAGGAGAAGGGCTGGCCCTGCTCCGGGGCTGCAGGAGTCCCTCAAAGATGCACGCTTCCTGGGCGGTGTGTGCTCCCACATCCAGTGGGATGTTCTGGTTAAAAACCCAGCTGCTTGAGGCCTTAGCCCCTGGCGGGGCCCTTGGCTTAGGAGAGCCAGCCGGGCAGGTCTGTAAATGCAGGCCCTGGGTAGGAGCTGTCTGCTGCTGGAGGCCTCTGTGCCTGTCACTGCTGTGACCCGGAGTCGGGCACAGCCTTTGAAGGTTTCGTGGGGGACCCCGGATGGCAGCCCCTTTCCTGGAGCCCAAGCCTGCCTCAGGGCCAAGGTTCGGCAATGCCACCCACCCTCCTGAACACGAAATGGGAGAAAGACGTAGAAATCACACTGACCCACACTCATGGTGTACAGGCGAGTCTAAATCTAAAGAGCTGGAGATCCAACCCACTTCCAAAGCGCCTTCTGCAAACCGGGAACCGCCCCCACGAGGCAGGTCTCGCGCATCCCTGCTCAGAGCTCTGTCCCTTTCACCTTCAAGTTGTGCATCCCGCTACCAAACGCGAGCCCGGAAACATTGTTTCTGCAAGCTTCCCAGAGCTTCCTCTCGGAACGGTTCCATTAAATCACCCCCGTTCGGAACCGCTCGATCCACTTTGAAGCACGTGTGGCCTTCGGTACAGCTGCTGTGGCCGACAGAGATTTATTTATAGCCGGGCTCCTGGCTGCTTGGTAACGGCCGTTTCGCTGCCTTTAAAGAAGCTTGGGACGTTATCTACCTCTATTCAGCTTGAAATCAGGCATGCAGCGCCTTCGGCTCGGGCCAGTGATAATTAAATCGCTATCGTGCACAATTATGGATGCAAAGAATAAATGACACAATTAACCGCTCTGTACTTGGAATTGCTTAATAAGGAAAAGAAGTCACTAGCATGAGAGGATTCAGGCAGCCTCCAGCTGAAAGACGCCACCCATACTCCATCCAGGTCGGGACACGACCGTGGTCGGTCCCTGAACAAAGAGCTGCTCCCTAAGACCGAAGTTTTGGGCGCTAATTGATCTAGCTGGGTCGGGACTAATTGGCCAGTGAGCTTCCAAGAACAAAGGCTGTGGCCGGGACGGCCAGGGTGGGCAGCCGCCCTGGGGGCCCCTGGGGGCCGCCCTAATTGGTCGGAGGCCAGCTCCTCAGGAAGGCAGTTCCAGCCCCAGAGAGGCCACAGTCCCCCTCC